TTTTAATTCTGCTTTTATTCAATCTCCATCTTTTTACGATTTCCTGCATTCGTATTTTAGAGTTGTTTTACCTGCTTTTACCCGTCTTACCTTGTTTACCTAATTATTCTTTCGCATTACTAAAGGCCGTGTCACACTAGCACTTTTTCCGTCAATTTTTTGACAATTTTATTTAACATAAATACAAACATTTTCGAATATAGCTCTTGATCTGACTATACTTGGCTGAAAAGTTGACGGAAAGTTTTTTCAAACGGAAACGATCATTGTTGTCTGACTGGAGAATCGACCATTCACTCAAAAATGAACAAAATTTCAGAAAATTGTAAAAAAAAAAAAAAAAATGACGGAAAAAGTGCTAGTGTGACGGCACCTTTATGGTTCTGCTTCTACTATTATTGCTTCTGCTCTACTATTGCTGCTGCTGCTAACTACTGATTCTGCTTTTACTACTACTGCTTCTGCTTCTACTACTGCTGCATGTGTGTGTGTGTGATTGCTAATACATATATATATATATATATATATATATATATATATATATATATATATTATATATATATATATATATATATATATAATATATATATATATATATATATATATATATATATATATATATATATATATATATATATATATTATATATATATGTATGTATGTATGTATGTATATATTACAACCTAAACGGTATAAATTGGTGAGAGTTACATAATTAGAAAGTAAATAAAAAGTACTTTCTTATTCCCTGCTTCTTTGCTACCGTTTGTATAACGGTTTTTATCACTCTCATCTTGCCGTAGCAAATAAATTTTACCTTTAAACTTTACTATGCACATCCGCGCAGACCATTCATATAACATGGAAATGTGTTTGTAAATATTCATGGCTGCGTACGTAGTAATACTTAAAGTAAGAATAGCGTAAGCATATAAAGAAAACTAAGAATTCTCCTTCATAAAGTCACTCAGCAAATATGTAAGTTTTCCAGGTGTATATTTGACATATTAATCTGCTCTTAGAGTAAACTAAGGAGTTGCTTTTTATCAAATTATTTACTAAGTTGCTCTGCTTCTCTCTCTCTCTCTCTAACTCTTCATTTCTCTTCTTCCTCCGCATTTTCTCGTCCTTTTCTTCTCTCCTCCACCTCTTCCTGCTCCTTCTCTTCTCTCCTCCTCTCCCTCCTCTCCTCATCTCTCCTTCCTCCTCCTGCTCCTTTTTTTCCTCCTCATCCCCCTCCTATATCCCTCCTCCTCCTGCTCCCTTTCTTTTTTCCTCTCCTTTCTCTTCCTCTTCCATTTTCTCTCTTCTCCTTCTTTTCTTCTTCTCTTCCTTTTCTCTCCTTCTCCTTCCTCTTTCTCCCCTCCTCTTTTCTTTTCTTCCTTTTTTTCCTCCACCGATGCAAGCTCTAATCAACCAAAACGCACGTATTGTGGAATACGAAAACCAACATTCGAAACTATGAAAAAGAAAAAGAAGAAAAAATCTACCATAAAAAAAAAAAAAACAAAGAAAAGACAAACAAAAGCGAAATCACACAACACAGAAAGCAATTCATCCGCGCCGAAGATGCCCAACACAACTAAGAAGAAAGCAGGAAAAGGAGAAGTTGACACAATCCGATCTCAAACATTTATGGCCGAGTCAAGGATCGGGGCAAACTTGTTTCACTTTGGTGCAGGTTTGGCTGTCTTTGGCAAATACTGAATTCGTCTCCTCGTCCTGCCTTGCCAAGCGAAAGACCAAAGTTGAGCAGAACAAGTTTCATCCGCTGAATATCCTTAGTGGGCCAAAGTTAAGCCTTTACTTTAGGTCTGTGTGTGTGTGTGTGTGTGTGTATGTGTGTGTGTGTGTGTGTGTGTGTGTGTGTGTGTGTGTGTGTGTGTGTGTGTGTGTGTGTGTGTGTGTGTGTGTGTGTATATATATATATATATATATATATATATATATATATATATATATATATACATATTTATATATATTATATATATTATATTATATATATATATATATTATATATTATATATATATATATATATATATATATATATTATATATATATATATATATATATATATATACTGTTACGCAACGGTTAAAATAAACAATGCTGTTGATTCCTATTTTACTGAAGATCTAAGATAACAAGGTTTTTAACTCCATGAATGACATCAAAGTAATAGAACAGAATCCAGGGCCTTGTAGTAAGAAACTAACGAACAGATAAATGCATAACCTAGAACATAGAAATATTTTACACACATGCAATAGGATATTTCGTAAAAAAATACACCACTAAACAGATTCAAACACTTATCCTAACCAGACCTATATATATCTGAGAACACATAAAACTTATACTTAAGTACTGGGATTCCTTGAATCTAGAAATAAGGTGATGATAAACACAAAAAGGGGGAAAGAACAAAGAGACGCTGTCGCCTGAGAGAGAGCGCGTGGAAGAGTGAAAGTGTCAACTCCTCTCATTGGCTGAGAGCCTACAGACATCCAGGTGGCCTCTCCCTATTGGCTGTAAGGAAAAATGCGCGCGAACTGTCAGAATCCCTAACATGGCACTGGCTTTAACACCTCCCTTTCTAAGAAGAAAAATTTACAATGAAATTTTTGTTTCAACAATATCTTAAAGTCGTGACAAGCAATCTGCAATCACATTATCCTTCCCTTTTATATGAATGATATTAAGATGAAACTCTTGCAAGTATAAACTCCATCTAGTTAATCGCTGGTTTTTATCTCTAAACTTGTTCAAATATTTGAGGGGATGATGGTCAGTAAACACCGTAATTTCATGGCCAGAAGGATTAAGGTAAACAGCAAAATGTTGAAGACCAAGTATAAGTGATAATAACTCTTTCTCAATGGTAGAATAATTTTTCTGGGCTGAATTAAATTTCTTACTAAAGTAACAAACTGGGTGATCAATGGCCTGGTCATCTTCCTGCAATAAGACGGCACCAGCACCAACATCACTTGCATCTACAGCCAATTTGAAGGGCTTACTGAAATTAGGAGCTTGCAATACAGGGGAATTAGAAAGAATAGCTTTGACTTGATCAAATGCTAGTTCACATTCCTTACTCCACTCAAAGTTGATACCTTTCTTCAACAAATCAGTAAGGGGAGCTACCACTTCTGTAAAATTTAAAATAAACATACGATAGTAACCTATCATACCTAAGTATCTTTGTAATTCTTTCCTATTCTGAGGTCTGGGACACCGACATATAGATTCAACTTTAGCCAGTGGTGGGGCTACTGATCCCTGTCCAATTACATACCCAAGATACTGTACTTGGGCTTTAACAAATTCACATTTTTCGAGGTTTACAACAAGATTAGCACTGGAGAATCTATTCAAGAGTTCTCCAACTTCAGAGATATGTTCTTCCCAAGAATCACACTGTAGACAACCACATCATCTATATAAGTTACACAGCCTTTGATTCCTGCAGTAATAGTGTTCATCAATCTCTGAAAAGTGGCAGGAGCATTTTTCATACCATAGGGCATCACTTTACACTTATAAGTTTGACCCAAAGTAACAAAACATGAAATGTCCTGAGCTCGGTCAGTCAAAGGAACTTGCCAATATCCCTTTAGTAGATCAAACTTGCTAATGTAATTAGAACTTCCCACTTTGTCGATGCACTCATCCACCCTTGGTAACGGATATGTGTCTGTCTTAGTCAGAGCATTGACTTTCCTAAAATCAATACAAAATCGATATCCCCCATCAGACTTGGGCACTAGAGTCACAGGTGAACACCACTCACTTTGGCAAGCTTCAATTAGTCCATGTTCTAACATATAATTCAATTCTTGTTGAAGAGGGGCAAGACGATTTGGATTTACACGGTAAGGCGCCTGCTTCACTGGTGCAGCATCCCCCACATTCACATCATGCACTGCTAATGTTGTAAGTCCTGGTGAGTCCCGGAATACATCCTGATACCGAGACAAGAGTGAGACAAATTCTTCTCTCCGCTCTGCTGTTAGATGGGTGAGCTTATCTGATACCTTGGTCCAGGCGTTAGTGTTCTTCTCCCAGGTCCCAGTCATCTCCAATGTTGGCGGGCAAGCATTATCTTCATCTTCTGTGGGTGTTAGAGCTACTGCACACACTGGAGCATCTGGTGAATCCCTCTGGTAGTATGGTTTTAACATATTTATGTGACATAGTCGACTGGATTTTCTCCTATCTGGGGTGGAAACAACATAATTAACATCACTCAGCTTCTGCTTTACCAAATATGGACCACTAAATTTTGCCTGTAAGGGTTGACCATGTATGGGAAGCAGAACCAACACCTGATCACCTGGCTGGAACACCCTCATTCTCGCTTTCTTATCGTACCATTTCTTCATTTTCTTTTGGGAAGAAACCAAGTTATCTCTAGCAATTTTCCAACTACGGTTCAGCTTCTCTTTAAAGTCACTAACATAAGATAAAAGTCCTACATTCTCATCCATACCAAGCCACTCTTCTTTTAATAATTTTAATGGTCCTCTCACCTCGTGGTGAACATTAACTCAAATGGAGAAAACCCCAAGGATTCATTTGGTGTTTCTCTAGTAGCAAAAAGCAAGAAAGGCAAGCCTTTATCCCAATCCTTGTGACTTTCTGTACAAAATTTTGTAATCATACTTTTAAGAGTTTGATGATAACGTTCTATGGCACCTTGACTCTGAGGATGGTAAGCAGTGGAAGTGATCTGCTCAATACCTAGTTCCCGGAGGGACTGTCTGAAAACTTTGGACATAAAATTTGATCCCTGGTCAGACTGCACTTCTTTAGGTAAGCCAAACCTTGTGAAGAACTGTAATAACTCTCTTACTACTATTTTAGCTGAGGTATTTTTGAGAGGAACAGCCTCAGGATATCTAGTAGCCATATCCATGATAGTAAGAATATAAGAATATCCTGTTGCAGTTTTAGGTAAAGGGCCAACAATATCAATAACCACTCTGGAGAATGGAGCATCAAAGGGGGGAATGGGTATTAATGGAGCAATATCAGGAGGTTGATTAGGCTTACCGACCATTTGGCATGTGTGGCATGTTCTGCAATAATGGGAAACATCTTTGCGAATTGTAGGCCAATAAAAGTTACGCCAAATCCGGTCTAAGGTCTTTCTTACCCCAAAATGTCCTGCCAAAGTAGAATCATGAGCAAGTTTCATTATATCATACCTATAAACATTTGGAACTACTACCTGGTGTACTGTCACCCACTCACTGTCAGTTGCTGGGGACGAATGGGTCTCCACTTACGCATTAATACACCCCTTTTCAAATAGTAACAAACTGACAGTTCATCACACTCATTTTCAGCCACAGCAGCTTCAGCTAAGTCTTGCAACTCAGGGTCAGCTTGCTGCAATTCAATTAATCCTTTAGACATATCAGTTTGATTAACTAGTGCTACTCTATCTACAGAGTCAATGGTGGCAAAAAAGGTATCAGCCAAGTTAACAGCATCAGTATCAGTAGTAGTGACAGGATTGATTACATTCCCAGTCTGAGGTACTTTAATATTGGTTGACATGGACCTTGTTACAGCACAGGCAGGGAACACATGGGGTACTTCCTCAACTAATTGCTTAGTTTCTTCCACAGCTACAGGTTTCTCAGATAATAACGGGACAGGGTTCACCTTGGCCCGCTATATCATTTCCCAACAGTGAACACCATGCATAGGCAATTGATCCACCAGGCCTACACACAAAAACCCTCAAAGAATTCACACTCAAGGTACACTCTCACAGGGGTAACAGAGATGGATCCTCCAACTCCATGAACAACTATTTTCTCTGGGCTTTCAAAATCAACCAAACCTTTTAACATGAGAGATTTTAAAGCGCCAGTATCCCGTAAAATCTGAACAGATTTCTTTTCCCCACCCTCAAGTGAGACAGTACCTTCATGCATAAAACTATCATACGATCCAGTGAAAGCCCCATCACCACTGTTTACATCCAACTTTCTTAAAGAAGCTTTATTTTCATTTCTGGGGAAAACAGTTACAGGTGAAAACTTTTTGGATAAACTTACTTTAGTGGAAACCAAGGCTACTGATTTAGCCTTAATTTCTCGTGACTTCTTCCAACACTCTCTCTCCCAATGGCCAGTCTTCCCACAGTAATTACAAATCTTACATTTCTTCCCTTGTACAAAATCATGTGGCTTGGACATCTTTCCATGGTCCACTACATCATCTGGAAGAGCAAACTTACAGTGAGAAGCTGCTACAACATCTCTCTTATTCTGAAAACCCGGAAATTTATTAGTATAGGTCTTATGTGTCAATACATACTCATCAGCCATAATGGCAGCAACAGCTATATTATCTACACCTCGTTCAGATAAGTATAGAGAAACTTCTTTAGGAACACATCTGGCAAATTCCTCTAATAACATTAGTTCCTTTAATTTAACAAAGTCTGACTTTACCTCTTTTGAACGAAGCCACTGATTAAACAAATCTTCTTTAACTCTGGCAAATTCTACATAAGTCTGGTCAGCTAGTTTGAAAGTGTTTCTATATTTGAGCCTATATGCCTCTGGCACAAGTTCATACGACTTCAGAATAGTATTTTTCACAATATCATAATCTACACATTGAATGTTTGATAAAGATGCATACACACTTTGAGCCTTACCCTTCAAAACACTTTGCAACAATATTGGCCAATACTCTTTGGGCCAACATAAACTCTGTGCAACCTTTTCAAACATCACAAAGTACTTGGTGACATCCCGCTCACAAAAAGGTGGAACAAGTCTTACCTGTCTTGCCACATCAAAGGAATGAATAGAGACAGGATTGCTCTCCAGCTGTTTTATTCTAAACTCATGATTTAGCTTCATCTCTTCCCGGCGCAAATCAAGTTTGGCCTGCTCCAGACGGATCTTTTCTAATTCTAAGAGCACACAAGGGTCTTTAAGATTGCTTGAGCCTTCACTTGTAACTTCATGTGAAGCTGAAAAGTCATGAACACGGTCAATTTCTTCAGGGAAATTCCCTGAAAAAGGATCCTCTATACCAAACAATTTCCTGTTAATCATGTTAACTAATGGGAATCTATTTACATCTGAAGGAAACTCCAGTTCAAGAAATTTAGCAACTAATTTTAGTTCATGGTTCCCTAATGATTCAACTTTATCAACAGATGGTTCTGATGAAAGAAAATTCTTGACATCCTCTTCACTAATGATAGATGCCATGTTTACAAAGACGGGTAGAGATAACTGGCATAAATGATGCAGTTTCCTAATACATTACACGGCACCTGGATCCTGGCAAGGTCGCCAATTTTGTTACGCAACGGTTAAAATAAACAATGCTGTTGATTCCTATTTTACTGAAGATCTAAGATAACAAGGTTTTTAACTCCATGAATGACATCAAAGTAATAGAACAGAATCCAGGGCCTTGTAGTAAGAAACTAACGAACAGATAAATGCATAACCTAGGAAAGAAATATTTTACACACATGCAATAGGATATTTCGTAAAAAATACACCACTAAACAGATTCAAACACTTATCCTAACCAGACCTATATATATCTGAGAACACATAAAACTTATACTTAAGTACTGGGATTCCTTGAATCTAGAAATAAGGTGATGATAAACACAAAAGGGGGAAAGAACAAGAGACGCTGTCGCCTGAGAGAGAGCGCGTGGAAGAGTGAAAGTGTCAACTCCTCTCATTGGCTGAGAGCCTACAGACATCCAGGTGGCCTCTCCCTATTGGCTGAAGGAAAAATGCGCGCGAACTGTCAGAATCCCTAACATGGCACTGGCTTTAACATATATATATATGTATACATATATATATATATATATATATATATATATATAGATAGATAGATAGATAGATATAGATTAGATAGATAGATAGATATATATAGATATATGTGTGTGTGTGTGTGTTTGTGTATGTATATATGTATGTATTTATGTATGTATTCATGTATTTATTGTTATATACATAGATAGAAGGATAGAGAGATAAATATATAAATACACACACACACACACACACACACACACACACACACACACACACACACCACACACACACACACACACACACACACACACACACACACACACACAGACCTTATTTGGATGTTTAAGTCGTTTAACTTTCCTTCGTTCAGAATTCCTCCTGTGATCGGATTTTGCATTTTTATTAATCTATTAGAATCACTCATCACAAAATGTAACAATTTTTCTATTGATACACTGCAAAACATTATCTTTTTTTCGATAAAATGATAATTGATACGTAAGGATAAAAAATACAATAACAAATGAAGCCACACAAAGATTAACTAAAGATCAAGTTTGCATAGATTTTAACCGTCTTAAGGATTTAATTAACTTCTTCCACCAGGCACTGTAAATGGTAGTCAGAATGTTGAAAATGTTCCCCATGCAAAATTATTGCTACTTCGCGAAAAGTTAAGTAGGGAAAAATACAGTTAGTTGGAAAGGAAATTACGCACGGGAAGGTAAAATGTAGCCAGGTGGAAAACTTTAGGCACTCAGATCATTAAGGAAAGAGAGGAAGGGGAGAATGAGACCCGAAATAGAAATAGAATTAGAGATTTGAGAGGAAAATATATAGTCTTTAGACTGGTTTATGTCCATGATAGATTGGGGTGTTTGATGTTGTCTAGAGTTAGAGATTTGAGAGGAAAATATATGTTTTTTTTTTAGACTGGTTTATGTCCATGATAGATTGGGGTCTTTTGAGGTTGTCAATTTGATATAATTTTTAACGAGAGAGAAATGTCTAAGATTTTGGTTCTTCCAAAAGGGAGCGATCTGCTACAGACTGCTAATGCAGAGATAAAAGCAACAACAGCAAGTAAAACATAAATAATACATTTTTATTCAGTCGTTACAAGCTTTGGAAGTAGTAAACAAAGAAAGAAATGAACTGACTTCATTAAAGCAGTACAAAGAAAATGTATTCACGTAAAACTAAATCTTTCAAGCTTATTTTAGATTTTCTCGTCAGTTGAGTTGAAGGAAGTTAAGACTATTTCTAAGTTCAAGTGAAATTCGTCACTTCAAAAGAGCACAATAAATGTAACATGTATTTCTTGTGATTCTTCATCAACTTCGTGGATTTCGTCGTTATATCCGTAAATCCAACTGTGATCATTTTCGATATTCTATGAACAGAGAAGTATATTAGAACATTACGGGTTATTCGATATTCGTTTTAATTATTGCTTGCTGTTCGCGGACAGGAAAGAGATCTCCGCCAAATCATTTATGGAATACATTTATGTTGTTGCCTTTCTAAAGCTAGTGATGTAATTTCGCCTTTTGTGCGCGAGTCTGATATGCGTACACGCACATACACACGCATATGGATCTGTACGTGTGTGTGTGTGTATATATATATACATTATATATATATATATATATATATATATATATATATATATATATATATATATATATATATATATATATATATATATATATAATATATATATATATATATATATATATATATATATAATATATATATAATATATATATATATATATATATATATATATATATATATATATATATATATATATTATATATATATATATATATATATATATATATATATATATATATATATATATATATATATATATATATATATAATGTGTGTGTTTGTGTTTAAGTATGTCTGCATTTGTTCTCGTCTGCGCCTCCTTCCCCCTTTGAGCCCCGGCATCCTCCCCCCTTCCCCCCGCCTGTCCCCCTCCGCCCCTCCGGCCCTGCCCCGCCCCTCCCCCCTGCCCCTCCCCTCGCGTCTGCCTCGTCCTCCCCTCACCCGTCGATCCGAAGTTACTCCTTCTCTTCTTTTTTTCTCTCCTCTCGTTTTCGTAACAGCGACGGACCTTGACCCCCTGTGCTTCCCGCATACCTTGACCCTCACTCTTCCCCTTCCTATTTCCCCTCGCGCCCTCATTCCGACGTGTCCAATCACGCCCGCACGCCCACCTTTCCTCCAGTCGGATGGCGCGACCTTGCCCATTTCCTGGGGTTTTTTATCGCGAACTTGACGTCATTCGCGGTTCATTAAGTAACCTTTTTTTACTTTTTATTTTTTATTTTTTATTTTATTTTTTTATTCCCAAGTGGTGTGTGTTCGGCACTACTTTGTATATACTTCGTCTATTTTAACGTTCGTAGAAATTGTTTTTCTTGTTTTTTTTTTCTTGACACAACGGGTGATTTTGGCAGGTCTTGTATTCAACCGTATGCATAGAGTGTATAGAGGTTATTTTTTATTTACGCTACATAGATTAGCTGTATATATTAGGCGTTAATCTCGTTTTTTCTTATCTCTTGTTCCTCTTTCGTCCTTTACGCTGACTTCTTCCCCTGTTCGTATGTATAGTTTTTTTTCCGTTTTTTTTTCTTTTTTTTTATCATTCGTTTCCCCTTTTCAACGTTTAACCTTTTGCTCTCCCCTCCTTCTTCTCTTCCTCCTTTCCCCTCAATTTAACCCATGGAACTCTGTTCGTCTTCTCCCTCCTCTCTTACCTTTCCCCATCTTTCTTCTTCCTATCTTTATTAATATCTCTCTCCTCGTTTCCATTCAGCGATCTTTATCACTTAATCTGATTTCCCAAATGTCTCTTCCTCCTTCTATCCAGCGTGCTTTTTACTCTCTCTCTATTCCTTCGGACATTATTTATCCTCTTCCTTTCTTTCTGCCTTCCTTCCTTCCTCTCTTTGTTTGCCTTCAATTGTGCTTGCTTCACCCCTCCTCCCCCTTCCTTTCCTACCCCCTCCCCCTCCCTCCCTACCTACTCCTCCCGCTCCCTCTTCCCTCTCTCTCCCCCTCCCACCCCTTCCTCCGACCGCCTCTCCCTCCCTCCTACCTACTCCTCCGCTCCTCTCCCTCTCCCTCTTCCTCCTCCCTCCTCCCTCTCCCTCTCCCTCCGACCCCCACCCCTCCCTCTCTCCTACCTTCTCCCTCCTTCCTCCTCCCTCTCCCTTCTCCCTCTCCTCTCCCTCTCCCTCTCCCTCTCCCTCTCCCTTCGCTTCAGACTCCAGCTGCTTTGAGAAATATCGATAATGCTTTAAAGAGAAGAGAAGCTGTTCACGGTATTATATCGACTCGGATAATTTTTTTTTTTTTTTTGAAGGGCATATTGCACCGGCAATTAGCCTAATGGGCACCTGACCCCCCACCTCCCCACCCCCCCGCGTGCCCGTAATTGGCTCTGGTAATGTTGCTTTTGTCCGCGAAATAAAGAGATTTTCCTCGACCGCCGGAAGTTATATGTTCGCGGGCGCTCGGGGAGGGAGTATCAGCGGAGGCGAAGGGAGGGAGAGGGAGAGGGGGAGGGAGAGGGAGAGAGGGGGAGGGGTGGAGAGGGGTGGAGAGGGGATGGAGAGAGAGGGAAGGGGAGGGAGAGGGGGAGGGGGATGAAGAGGGGGTGGAGAGGGGGAGGAGGATGGAGATGGAGAGGGGGAGTGGGAGGGGATGGAGATAGAGGGAGGGGGAGGGAGAGGGGGAGGGGGATGAAGAGGGGGTGGAGAGGAGGAGGAGTGGAGAGGGGAGGGGGGGAAGAGGGTGGAGAGGGGGAGAGATGGAGATGGAGAGGGGGAGTGGGAGGGAGAGGGAGAGAGGGGAGGGGGTGGAGAGGGGGGGAGGGGGATGAAGAGGGGTGGAGAGGGGGAGATGATGGAGATGGAGAGGGGGAGTGGGAGGGGGATGGAGAGAGAGGGAGGGGGAGGGAGAGGGGGGGATGGAAGAGGGGTGAAAAGGGGGAGGGGATGGAGAAAAGAGGGGGGAGGGGATGGAGATGGAATGGAGAGGGGGAGAGGAAGGGGTGGAGAGGGGGGGGGGGCGGGGGAGGGGGAGGGGGAGGGGGGAGGGGAAGGGAGAAGGGAGAGGGGTGATGGAGAGGAGAGGAGAGAGGGGGTGGAATGGGAGATGGAGGGGGATGGAGAGGAGGAGAGAGAGGGGGGATGGAGTGGGAGATGGAGAGAGAGAGAGAGGGGAGGGGAGGGAGATGGAGAGGGAGACAGGAAGGGAGTGGGAGAAGAAGGATAGGCAGGGGAAGAAACAGAGAGAAAAGAGAGAGAGAGAATATGGGATAAATGCATACATGCAGTGCATACATACATAGATGCATACCTTTCATGTATACGTATACACATACATATATTTATACATACTTATATACACACATACATACATACATACGTAACATACGTACATACATGCATACATACATACAGCATAAAGACATACAGACATAGACTGATACATAAGATAAATATAAATGTGCGCATGTGTTCGTGTGTGTGTGTGCGCGCGCGCGCGCGTGTGTGTTTTGTGTGTATGTGTGTGTGTGTGTGTATGTGTGTGTGTGTGTGTATGTATGTGTGTGTGTGTGTATGTATGTGTGTGTGTGTGGTGTGTGTGTGTGTGTGTGTGTCCGTGTGTATGTGTGCGCGCGTGTGTGTGTTTGTGTGCACATGTATACGTACGTGGTATTCGCCACCCCTCCTCTCGGCCGTGACTGAAATTCTCACTTTTTTTCTTTTCTTCTTCTCTCTCTCGACTTTTGCATTGAGCGTTTGTGAATTCTTGCATATCTATCTTTTTCGAGTTTATATATCTTTCCCTCTTTTGAGAGTCTGAAGAAAAGTCTCTTTCTTCTTCTTCTTCTTCTTCTTTTTCTTTCTTTTTTTTTACTATCGTTGTTCCTTATCTCGTCGCTCCTCCGCCTCTCCTCGTCTCCTCTCTTCCGCACCATTTATCGGTGTCTTCTATCTCTCCTTTGGCTGTCATTCGGCGCTCTCTCTCTCATTTTTTCCTCGTCTAAACTTTTATTC